CTTGAGATTTTTTAAAGCCGACAGAATTGGGGAAAAGAAACTGTATTTTATCGTGCACTCGATAAACTCTGCAACATTCTCCGCCCCCAAAAAGTACATTTGGTAAAATCTTTTCACCTACATTACCAAACCCCAGAATTAAATACGTTGGGGGCCCATTGAGACATAGCCACCCTTTTGATGCCCATTTTTCCGTTCCGCTAAGCTGGGTGTGGGATTATAAAAATGGGGAACTAATTTTAATACAACTTTTTTTAAAATAACATAATACTTAAATTTTTTGACAATTATTTTTTAGGGGGGGTCAAGCCCAAATTAAATCACGTATTTAAGTCAGATCACCAACAGTCCTATCTAAATTATCCTAAATAATCCTTTTTACTTTCTTTTTCTAATATTCCCTTTTCCAGTTCTGGCCCCTTGATAAGAATATAATCTATAACTTTCTTTATGAAGATTTTTGACCCCGCAATGCCTTTCTTGACTGCTTATTCTTGGTCCGCAAGATTTCACACTAAGCTTTGTCACGCAATCAGAATGATTCCACACTACAACCTCTGAGCCTGCTGCATTCTAGGTTTGCCACGCTATCCATAGTATATCTCATTTACATTTTCACGTTTATCTTCTTGGTATTGGGTTAAAAAGGTTTTTTGTTTCGTGGCCGTCAAAGAACAAAGTCATGTTAATCAGAAAGGCGCGAAGACGTCACAACATGACCTTTGACACTGTAGATGGGGTGAGGACTGAAAATCATTTGGATAAAAGGACTTCGGAAAATGGCGGTGGAAACCTAATCAAAAAAAAAGTTTGATGGAATTTAGAAATGGGAACCGAAGGCCCCAAAATTAAAAAAAACCCTACTGAAATAAAAATAATCCCTATTTGAATCGGATATCGTTCATTATTTCATTGGTTTTAATTTTATTTTCGCGGTGCCCTAATTTTTTTTTTCTGAAATAAAAGTAGCTTAAGTTCCTTTAAAAATTGCTTTTGCCGTGAAAGTTCCGTCAAAATTGGTTCAGCAGTTTCAGAGAAAAATTTTTAAAATTGGTTTTTTTTCACATTTAAGTACCGTATATACTTTTAAATGCATTTAGTAAAAAGCTATTAATTTCAAATTACAAACAGACACTTCATTTTTTTTCTATGTTGGGTGTATAGATGAAAAAAAAATTTAAACAACGTTTTGTCAGAACGCAGCTTGCACAATATTCGTGAAAGGAAAATCTCAGACAGTAAAACTTCAAAAACAAGAAAAACTAAATCAACTAGACCAAGGAACTAAGAAATGCAATGCACCTAAAAACATTCTAAATAAGGAACAACACGCATATGATTCTCAAGAAAGGATGAAAAATTCAATCTGTTAAAGCATGCATATTATTATTCTATGCAATAAAACAAAAATCTTTTGTTGGTTATCTGACTCAACGTTCAGAATTCTCATGTTATAAATAAACATCTGGATGAAAGTCAGCTTTTTGACTAAAAATCAATAATTTATTAAACGTGTTTTATCATCGTACCTTTAAAATTCAGAAGTGAAAGCTGTCTCTCTAATTGGGTACCTCCATACTCTGCTTAATTAGATTATGTTTTGGTACTGGAGAGGATACATTTTAGATCTACTCCCTTTCATGTTTTCCTTTAAATATGGATCACGTACATCCGTGGGATGAAGGTAATGCAAAAGGATATGACTAGATGAATTTTCTACTTCGTAAACAACAAGTTTTCTTGAGATGAATGGTTGAAGATGCTTAGAGCATGCATAATAAAACGAAGTGAAACTTTGCGAAAGTTTCACATACACGAGTGTGGTAATTTCAAAACTCTAAGCCATGTATAAACAACATTTTCAAGCAATAAGCTGAATTTACACGAATGAGTAGTTCTTATCTGTGAAAATATAAAGTGCCTTAAATTATGTTTCTTTTATTCAATCGAAATAAAAGAATAAAAATTACACTGAATATTAAGTTTTTAGTATTGTTGTGGAGACAAATTGCATTTAAATTAAAATTTGCTTTTAAATTGTTTAGGTAATTTATATGCAAAATAAGTTTTTTTTTCACAATTTAGTATGAAAATATTTAAATTATAAATTGAATTTCAGTTCCTACTATTAGTTCACACTCTCCTTATATATCTTAAAATTTTCAATCGTTAATAAAATACTTTTCATTCATCCACTCTTCAAGTACATTTTTTTAAACTTGTAGTGGATGGCACTTATTATTAATACAATTTTTTCAAATATTAATTCATCAATTCTATTTAATTAATTAATTAATAGTAACAAACAAAAATAATAGTAAAACAACCTATATAAAAAGGACAATCGCTCGTTGTGTCCCTATAGCGCAATCAATAGCGCGTTGGACTTCTAATTCAGAGGTCGTGAGCTCGAATTTCACCTGGGACGGCCTCATTTCTGAGAATGTGCTTTCATTTCACTGTACTATTTTATCGGAATAATTAAATTTAATTAATGAATAAATAGTAACAAACAAAAAATAATAGTCCAACACCATGTATGGAAAAGGAAAATGGATAATTCCAAGGAAAATCACTTTCTGTTTTGCCACTTAATCAATTCTGTCCTATGTTTATACATATTTATATTAATTGTAATTATTTAATAAAAAGTAACTAAAATAAAATTTTTTTGGTTGAACTATGTAGAAATTGACTAAATTTTTTTAATATTACTTATTTCTCTATTTCTGTTCATCCCTTTTATATTGTTGTTTTGTATATTGTATACAGGGTGTATCAAAATAGCACTCAAACTCTGCACAGCTTGATTCCTCGTTGGGATACTCAAAGAATTGAAAGGCAAAAATACGTCAAAAGTGCAAAAATATGACGTCACAACCGGCGAAAAAAAAACAACTGTACCGGACACATCAACAGTAGTATTTGCAAATAATGAAAAAAAGGCAAATGTTTAAAGTGTCCACCGTGTGACGGGTTCATCGCGTTTTCTACTAAAATCTCCTCTTGGGCTCTTTGGGGCCGAAAAAGGCAAATTCTTTCCAACCAAATCCAGAAGCGAAACATGAACATGCAACAGAGACCTTTTAAATATCAGAAGTTTAACGTAAGCGGATGACCTATTGGGAAGTGATTATGCGATTCTGGTTTAAGCGCATGAACTGAAGGAAGAGAAGAAAGCCGTCATTGAGTGTGAAGCTATCCGTGACAGAACGATCAAGTCAAGGTAGATACAATTCCACGCGAGGTAACAGATATTTAGGATCCGAGAGGATTGTGGTTAAACAAGAGATTAAGTTAGGATAATTCTAGTATCCATTAGTAACTGTGATATAAACAGAGATTAGGAATAGAAGGGAAAGTTAAACATAGTGGTTAAGATCGTGCTTATTTGGTAATGCGTATTGTGTGTTTTCTTACCTCAGATCCACTAAGTTATAATATAAATATTATCATTGTTAGTGTTTAAGTTAAGATCTTAATAAAGACATTTTAAGATCATGTCAACGCCTGGTTCTTCGTTCAATCCTATACCTCTAGGTCACGAAGATAACTTAGGAGTAAGGTATCACCCCCGGATGAGTGCTTCACAACAGTGCATATTGTGATAGGCTTGAGAAGGCCGTGAAATAGATGAATGCATATGTCGCAGCAACGTAGCGTCCAATGAAGTACAAGCATCATGCAAGCGAGAAACTGAGTCATTTTGTGTCATCTCTGCGTCTCGATACACTATTTCTTTGAGGTTGCCCCATTGAAAAAAAGAACAACGGTGTAAGATCTGGGTATCGTGGGGGCCATAAACCGATTCCTGACATCAAATCTAGAGGCTGGGGTTTCCCTAGCCAACCAACCACTTGCAGGAGCACAGGAATGTGCCGGAGCTTCATCATAAACACTCATTCATTTATCATCATTTACCATTTTCTTCTCGTAAGAAATGGATCTTAAATGTAGAGTTCTTAAGACACTTTTATATACTCACAATAAGGAATCTGGCTGTGCAGAGTTTGGGTGCTATTTATGGGAAACTCTGTATAGTGTATGCTTCATGCTTTCTACCTTTAAAGTATAATTTGTGAAGTACTGGATGAAATTAAATTGAAATTTCTTAACTAATAAATAATGTATGATAAAAGTATAATATGTTACGTATGTATACATAAAACTGTGAAAACTTGTAATTTAGCATGCATGTTCCTTTCATGGAGTAGAGAACTGTTAAATTCAGCACAAAAGGGGGATTGCGAGAGCGTTTTATACATAAAATTTCCCTTTTATGTGAATTTCTAAACCGACAGCCTTGAAATTCGAAAAACGTGTTACTTTTGCTGAACTGAGATCAGTTAAGAAGGGGGGTTATCACACACAAAAGTTCACCTACATGGTGTTACGAGGGCATTATAGGTTATAAATAAAAAAAAATCCCTTTTTTTCAACTATGAGACCTACAGATTAAAAATCTAGCAAATTATGATTTTTTTGTTGAGCAGAAGTATGGTAAAAAAGCATATTTTGTTTAATTTTCAATTCACTCAAAACTAACAAATTAAAAAAAATTCATTTGTCCTTCAATCTCTATTGTTTTATTTTTCAATTCACCTATGGGAAGAACGGGTATTACAGCTAGTATATATATATGTTATTCCACAATTTTCTGTTATTGTTCTGGGTGTTAAGATATGCGACTACCCTAAAATCATGATTTTTTCAAAAAATTGTCAATTTTTTTTATGATTTTATTTTGTATGTCGTCTTATTAGCTTTAAAAAAAATACCATGTTTTTATTTTCCATTCATTAGAACAAAAACTACAAGTGTTTTAGTAAAAGCAGATGCTATAAATTTACATAAGATGTCAAACATTAAAATGCGTTTTACTCGAAATGTGATTTTTTCGAAAAGTTCAAACGGGGACAGCAATTGCTCAAAAAGTTTTAAAATAATTTGCTGAAATTTTGTGTGTATGTTCTGTATAACAGTAGAAGTGTGTTAACCTTCAGATTTATCAATAACTGTTTTATTACAAAATTTACAATTCTTTATGTGAATATAATCACTGTTTATCTAAGCAATTTCATATAACAACTAAAATTAAGTGCTCTAGATTTTGTAAAAATTCAAATATCTCTTATCCTGATGATGATCTTTTCAAAAATGATTAGCAAAGTAATGCATCAAAAATGAAAAATTGAGAATTTGTTCATTTACTATTTGTACAGCGTGGGCCCCGTTTATGTAATTGTTCGTCAATTTTTACCCATTTTAGTAGAAATAATTTATTTTCTCTTCTTAAAATTTAGCCTTTTTTTCTTAAGGCTGTTTTCGCCATATGAACGACAGTGTGGATTTAACGCGAGGCACATTTTCAGGCAGAAAAAATGCCTTAATTTTTGTAAAAATTTGTAACATTGTAACTCATAGATTTGTTTATAATAGTGTTTTTAGAATTTCAAAATGTTTCATAATCAGTTTTTCCTCTTAACATGTAAAGGGATAGCTCATTTAGCATTACGATATAGGGGAAAAAATGCGAAATACATTTTATAACATAAAAAATGTGTCAACTCGAATTCAAACGAGTAATATGTGATAAAATAAGTGATTATCTACAGGATAGTGAAGCGAAAATATAATATTAGTGTTGGAGTGCTTTTATATCTGAAAAAATATTCCGAATCGGGGTCCTATTCTTTAACATTAGCTGAAAACAGACTTAAAATGTACTAAATAAATCTAAAACCACAAAAAATCTCCTTATGTCCATTTTTTCAAAAAAAAGTTGTCGCAAGTAGTCGGATACCTTAACATCTACATTTCCTGATTTCCTAAATTTTATTCGCTGTTATCATATCAGGCCACATTGGATTAAATAATGGAAATATATTTGAGCCTCCCATATTTCCTTGGTTGACTTTTGTTTTCCTTTTAGAGCGCTGACTACAAATGTGCAACACCCCAAACACTTTGAGTCTCAAAACCATTATTTATAGTTTTTGGATTAGCCCAGTGCTTCTCAAACTGTGGGACGCGCCCCCTAGGGGGTGTGATAACCCTAGGAGGGGGGCGCGAGCCTATTAAAAAGTAAAAACAAAAGCTTATTTTGAAAAATTATTAATTTACTGAACATAAGAAAACAGAATACATTCCGACATAAGGAAAAATAAAATACACATGTACACTGATATAATACACATAAATGTACAAGTACTGCACATTGTATTTTATAATTAATTTGACTCTACTAAGTTAAGCACAAGTTTAATAATTACAAGTGACCCCGTGAGCTTATTATAAATAAAATTATATACAAAAATCAACAGGTGCCTTGATAATTTGTATAGTTTATAATTAATCTCTTAAATACCGATTAAATGGTTTGCTATTCGCTTCCTAATGCCACTGTTTTCCACGTAGGCGAGCATATGTGATGTATGGGGGAGGGAGTAATAAAAAAGGAAATTCTCTGAAATAAGAGTGAATCCTTCGCAAACACTGTCAGGGTCCATTTATTACATTCCAAACACTTCGGAATAATTTTATGGATAGCTGTGCACAGAAAATATCGTCTTTCGAAAAGGCGTATATATACTCCTGGGCAATTTACGCAATGACTGAGAATACGTTTATATACGCCAGCGGCGGAGAGGTTAAAGTTGTATTGTAGCCTTAGCGTAAAAGTAAAGTATAATGGAATTCACAATACATTGCTATTGTATGGGGGGGCACGATGAAAATTGTGATTGAATATTGGGTCGCAAGTATTAAAAGTTTGAGAAGCACTGGATTAGCCGATTTCAAAGAATTATCTTTTTCTAGAAATCATGAATTTGCGTCACCTTATTGCTTGTTTGCAAGCTCTAGGTAACCAATTGATGATTTAAAGCTGAAAATATCCCCAATGAAAGACGGAAATATTTAAAGAATGCCAATATACATAAGATAGGCGAAATTTCCTTTTATCTAATACAACAAATAGAACGTAATTATTTTCTGAATTAAAAATGCGATTAATACTCCTTTGTTTGATAATTCTTCATGTGAAGAGGTGTATTTTACATCAACTGCGTACAAAGGTGAACATGGAGAGCGATCGGACATTTTGGTACGTGAGTTGTATAACTGAGAAGATGATCCCGGGGTAAGATAAGAGCACATTCAAATGAAAGATTCGGATTTCAAGTTAAATTTTCTACTGGCTTCCACCGACTGTAATATTTTAATTAATTTTCGAAGATTGGATTTCTGCAAAATGTAATTATGGAAGGTCTTACTGGAGTGCTTTCGACTGAAGTAATTTTGGTTGGAGTAAAGTAATGTAAAACTTTAAGAGTTATATTCAGGTAAGGAAAATAAGTACGTGACATTTATATACATAAAGAGGAAGTTCCTTACATAACTGCGTAATAAAATTAGGAATTTTTTGCT